ACGTCCCTCCTCCGTCCGAATCGCCGTACGCGGACCCCGAGCTCGACGCCGACGGCGCATCTCGTTCGATCCTTGCCGCCCTCGGCATGGCGTTGTTCTGTGCTGCCCTCCTGGACAGCTCCTTCCTACTTTCAGACCCTCTCGAAGAGGTCGACGCCACGCTGCTGCCTCTGCTCCTTCCCCTGCTTCTGGATGAGCTACTGCCGTCCCGCAACCTCCTCCGAGGTGCGATCTCGATATCTGCGAGCGTCGGTCGCGGTCGTTCGGAGGCGGTGGGCGATGGGGGTGAACCGCTCTTTCTGGTCGTCCGAGGTGGAGGTCTCATTCCCCCGTCCGTCGACGATTGCCACCGATAGTCGTCGAAATTTGTCGATAGTCGAGGATCTCGTAGGAGGAGATGGGGCCTGGGGGCGGAGTGAAGGTCAATGGGTTATAATCAGACCCACTCGGGGGATGAGTCGGGATAGACACAGCGCGAGACCATGAATAAGGGGTTGGTCAGAAAATGCAGTGGATCTCAATCCGTGCATCACCATAGCATCATCGTCAGCAAGGTCATCCAGCGGCGTGCCTATCACCTAACCAGGGGGGGCACGGCAGAATAGGCCCGCGTGGTGGCGATATCAGGCGCGCGGTGAAAACTCGGTTCCCTCCTGGTGGATCTTTCGAACAACACAAAGGGAATCATTCAGCAGCGTCGTCTGGTGCTTTTGCAGCTCGCACATCGCATTCACTCTTTGTCAGCAGTAGGCAAGAGTCGCTTATCACTCCACACTCACACACAGACGGATCAAAATGCCCAAGGTGAGCTGTTTGGCGTGCAGTAGTCCATTGACACCGCTGACCAACTTTTATGACGTATAGAACAAGGGAAAGGTTTGTGAAGAGCAAGTCTCTCCATGTCTTGCGGAGCTGACCAAGATATCGTGCCTGCCCTTCATCCTACTCTACTCCTTGCTATTGACCCCATCGCCTACTCACACACATAGGGCGGCAAGAACAACCGAAGGGGAAAGAAGGACGATGGCGAGAACAAGCGAGAGCTGATCTTCAAGGAGGACGGTCAGGGTAGGTGAAGTGGGATGATGAAGGGGTGCAGGCGCGTGCTAACGGTGCTCGGTCAGAATACGCTCAGGTGCTCAAGATGCTCGGTAACGGTCGATTAGAAGCCAAGTGTTTGGACGGAGAGACCCGACTGGCTCAGATCCGAGGACAGCTGCGAAAGAAGGTGAGTGGCCGGCTTGCTAGCTTGGAGTACTGGCGGCGGGCGGAAATGATACTGGAACATTCGGGGCCCGATCACCATTCGCAGCTTCAGGCTGACCTCCGATCCCCGTCCAGGTGTGGATCGTCGTAGGCGACATCATCCTCCTCTCCCTGCGAGACTTCCAGGACGACCGAGCGGACGTCATCCACCGATACACGCCTGACGAGGCCCGAAACCTCAAGACGTACGGTGAGCTCAAGGACTTTACCCTGGTCGAGGGACAGGAGGCCGGAAGCGAGGAGGAGGAGGAGGGTATCGAATTCGAGGAGGCCGACATCGACGATATCTGTGAGTGGAGTGGGTCACATAAACAGCCGGGATGACAGCATTGAATGTCTGATCCGATCCGCTGACGCACGCCAACCCGCAGAATGTCATGGCTCCTTCCGGCATGTCGTGTATACCCGCATATGTCCTCATTTCCCTGCGCATGCACATACGATCCTGAAACGGGTGCAGAGCAATCGCCTTGCCGGTTTGGGCTGAGCGTCTCGGGCGTGCGAGATCGGGACTGCAAAGCTCGTACTTGTTAAAGCAGCACAATCTCCCCAGTCGCCATCACGCTGTCCTGCCGGTGGACTCATGCCCATGCTGGCGCTACTCGGGTACGTATAAGGTGCATGACTCCATTGCGCAGCACAGCACGCATATCTCTGTAGCACGCGTCCCTCGGCCCAGTCCATGAACCGTGGTCATGCAACGGCAGGCACCGGCACACCCGCGCCCACCTTGCCCCTCTTCTTTGCCAACAGCTTCTCCTTCAGCTCCCTCGTTCTCCTCTCACCATCAGTCTCCGCTTCCATCATCTTGAGCCGCATCAACCTCCTCCTGACTTCCCTCTTGCGTTCCTCCGGGTCCATCTTCCTGAGCACCTGATCCATCCCTCCATAGTTTGACGCGACCTGCTCGGCCTCCCTTCTCGCTTTCGCCTCGAGCAGCATCCGCCTCAGCTCCTGGGCTTTGGACTCGGCGACGTTGCGCTTCAACGAAGCCTTCTCCGATTCCAGCTTGAGTTTGAGGGCGAGGCGCGCTCGGACGATCGCGCGGAGTCCACCTGCCTTGGTGGACGAGACTGACGTCGGGTCTGATACGGAATGCGCCAGAGGGGGAGGCGCTGTCACGCCCTCCTCTGCTTGAGCGGGTAACGGCGGTACGGCCTCTAGTCCCTCTATGACTCGAGCCGCAGCCTCAGCCTTGGCTTTCGCCAGGCGCTCTAGTATCTTAGCCTTGTTGGCAGGCACAGACGCCGTAACAGTCGGCTCAGCGGGTTTTACCACCGCCGCCTGAGCTTTCGCCTGTGCAAGCCTTTCCAAGAGGGTGAGACGCAAGGCCGACGCGCTTGACACTGTTTCGGTCGATTTCGCTTTACCTCGGATCGCCAGGCCGGCAGGAGCAAGCGCGCTGGCCGGTCCATTGTCGACTTCGGCTGGTTGCTCCGGCACCACATCCATCCTGAGCGGAAGGGCCGGTTCCTCGACAGGCAAAAGTTCCACCTTGGCTCGTTTCTCTGGCTGACCCCAGGCGCGCATCTTGATCCTGCTACCATCTGGCAGATCCAGCTCGCTGGCTCTTCTGGCTCTCTTGCGATCGCGTCTTTCTTCGTCTCGACGTTTCTCTTCGTCGAGCCATGCAGCATACTCCGGGTCGAGCCACGAGTCGTGCTCATTCCAGCGCTTCGCGTCGGGGGATAGCGAAGGCACAAAGGTGTCTCGTCTTGACCAGCGGCGGGCGCGATCACGCGACCGTGAGCGTGACCTAGAATGTAGGGAGATGGGTGACTCGGATCGAGGGCTCGGTGATCGCGAGACTGACCTGGAGCACGATCGCGAGCGCGATGACAGCGGCGAGTTCGATCGCTGCGATCGCGGTCGAGGCACGGGGTCATACTACCAATCAGGTCAGTCAAGAATGCCTACAGTGGACAAGCCTGGACACACCTGCGCGACCTCGTCCCATTTTCTCAGCTCCTTGAAAGGGCTCCTCAGAAAGCTACACAGCTCATGGGCAAAGTGTTCCGCCGCCCTTGGGTACTCTGGCTCGGTGGCACGTGCGGATGTCGAGGCAAACTCATCGGAGGGATCTAAAAAGTCAGCTAACAGTCTGATGGCTGGTTCCGAACGGATATCGATGGTTTTCAACAGGGACAAGATGTACGTGGTGAGGAATTCGACGTCGACGAGTGTCCACACTCGTAGTTCCCGCCGGAGGAAGGCTGTGGCCCGCTGGATCAGTGTCGGATCTTCAGCTATTTGGCGCGGACCTGGGCTTGGTCTGAACCGGGTCGTAGGGTTCGATCCGATGTGCTGTCCGCACGACATTAGTCAGACACTATCGAATGAAGCCAACCGCTACGCAACACACCTTGGCGTACAGCTCATATCGGTAGATCTCCTTCCTCCTTTCCACCTGCAGATCCAGCTCATCCGGCTCAACCTTTTCCCTCTCTTCCTGCCTTTGGCGCTGCACGGGCGCCAGGCGACCATGGGCCGGGCCTGAGGTCGTAGTAGCAGGTCGAGAGGTTGAAGGCAGTCGAGCCGTAGGTAAGGGAGGTAGATAGAACTGTCATGTGCGGGTCAGATCGCAGGGTCGTCCGTTGACTCAGGCGCGCACCCACCTTGGTTGGCTTTTCCGCATCCAGGTCGTGGAGCAGGAAAGGAGCCATGTCCGCTGAGCAGAGCGGACATCTTCTGCTCTGGTTCGCCCATACGCCAAGGCATTCAAACTAACGCCCTGACCAGTCAGCAGCCTTTCCATGTTGCCGCTCAGCGGACTTACACAAAACTCGTGACCACAGACACCAAGAATGGTCCTATCCCTGAGCCCCATCAGACAGATCACACATCGTTCGCCGTCCACATCGTCCTCGGCGTAATCATCCTTGTCTTCGCCCGCTTCATCCCCCACAGCGAGCTGGACCTTGGCCCCGGTGGAAGGTTTACGGCGGATAGGGTAATCGATCGGCTCATCCGGATGGGTTCTCACTTCTTCCTCCCAGTCCATCTTCTTCCTACTGCTCGCTAGTCGGTTCGCCTGCGGCTGTTGGTCCGGAGCAAGCGGTGGCCATGTTCGCGGCGGCGAAAACAGAGCGTGCTCGAGGATGAACCCCTCCGCCTCGTCGACTTTCGTAAGGATTCAGCTTGAGCCGGACCCCCAGCAGTGACACACTTACTGTACATCGACTGGTCCACTGCTGCCTTGCGCGGCATGCTGCACTTTGCTTGAGACCAATCCGCCTTCGCTAGGTCTGATGTCGAAAGTTGTTGGGACTAGTAGGAAGTAACATTCACGTCTCGTGGGTGACCTCCACCGGGACTGACCGGCGCGGAATGTGGCAGGATATGGTCGACATGGGCATGTTCATATAACATGACGGCGACGTAGATGGACGCTCGACAGGCCGTGACTGCTCGTGTGCTAGCTACCGGTCAGTCTTTAGCTTAATCCGTCATATTGTACAGGCAGAGTCTCCGAAGCGATGCTGCCGCTCCGACCAGGGGTGAGTGCCACTCCGGGTAAGCGGGTGAGAGTGTATGGGATCTTGCGACGCCGTGCGTTTGCTATTTGCGAGAAAGGCAGCGTGTACCTGAGGTGGACTCTCAAGCATGGCATATGAGCTGTGTCTTGAGCGGTAAAGAGACACGGAGGACGCTTTACGGCTAGCCCAGAGGCTTTGCTCAAGGTATAGCTTGGTCAAACATTTATGTAGTGGCAGGTAATTTTGCCTTACATGGTTGGCGTTGTGCGATAGTGGTTATTCGGTGGGTTTAGAAAACCCATGCTTTCGGGCTCACAGGTTCGAATCCTGTCAACGTCGCTTGATGAAAAATCTTTTTGCCTCGGTTCTTTTTGCCGTGAACCGTATTGGCCACCTGCCCCAGCGGTCAATCCAGCCCCGACGCGACACTTATCTTGGCGAGTCTTGTGAAGGGCTGCCGCATCGCCAACTCACCAAGAGTCAACGATAAGCACTAGCGCCCCCGATGATTGGGCCTTGCATTTGCGACTATCGGGAGGGTTTGCTATCAGGGAGGAATCAAGGAAGACGGGGAGGACACAAGGAAGACGAAGCGTGGGTGTCCTGTTCATGAAAGCGCTCGTCGTAAGACTGGCCACGGTATACTTGCGCTGGCAGGGTTTGGGTGTCATTCGAGTGTTCTACTCCTGACTCGTTAAAGGAGCATCGTGTTGGCGTAGATGCCACAAGCCTCTACCTAGCTGCCTATTCGGTGCGAGACTTGATTGTCATTCACCTCCGTGCTGCTTTACACTTCCAGCGTTCCTGAACGTCTCATTACCCGCATCTCAATAAGCCCATAGCACGACCGTCGAGACGCCAGCTGTTCCCTCCACGCAGACCGGTGCACCAGTCCTCACGCCCCATACGTATCTGTGAAAGCTCATGCATCCCAATGCCTAGAAGTACATGCACCTCTCCCCTACTACGCCGAGCGTCTACTCGTCGGGAACGACGATCTCACCATCGTGGATGGCCTCGATGATGTCGTGGGGGCTCTTGCCGTCGACGGTGCAGCCGACGGACTGGGCGGTACCGAGAATCTCGCAAACACCACCGGAGAGGGACTTGGCGAGGGACTTGTGGGCCATTTTTCGGGCGATCTGGGGTGCGATAGTCAGTAAAATGTACGTAGTGTAGCGCATGACTTGGCGAGGGAGGGCTTGACGCGAGGGTGAACAGAGGATGCGCTTGGCACGATCCCACTGGCCCACCGCCCGCGCCGTCCCTCGCTCCGCGTAGATAAACCCCACTCACGTCGTAGATCTGGTCAAGGGGGATGTTTCCGGAGTGCTTGATGTTCTTCTCCTTCTTTCGGTCCCTTGGGGGCTCCTTGAGAGCCTTGATGACAAGGGAGGAGGCGGAGGGGACGACGGAGACGGTAGCTTGTCTGTGGTCGTGGCAAACGGGGTATACGACCATGTCAAATCGATGATAGCGGGTGAACAAGGATGCGCCATCGTCAGCAACCAGTCCTACTCCTGCCTGTGATTCACGCACCGGTTCTGGATAGTGAGCTGACAAGTTACTCGGAGACCCTTCCAGTCACCGGTAGCCTTGGCAATGTCTTCTCCGACCTTCTTGGGGGACTAGCGGGCAGGTTTTAGCATTGGCCCGTGATTTATGATGTTCCCTCCGGCTCCTTCCCGCCCCATGTCCTGGTTCTAATTTCCCTCTCGACAGCCAGCAGCATTCGCCATGTCCCACACCCTCCGGCCCACATGCCACTTGCCCCCGCCCAAACGAGACACCACTCACCAGACCAAGAGGACCGATCTTGGGGGCAAGAGCGGAAGAGGCACCGACTTCACCACCGGTAGCTCGGAGGTAGATGATCTATGGGTGTAGGCGGGTGGTAGAGCGAGAGCGCGAAGGTTGTCATTAGCGGATGTTGATGGTTTGACGCAGGGCGAGATGATCGAGCAAGGAGACAGATAGATCAGCATTCGCTCTGAGGTAATGTCCAGCCGGCGTCCCTTCTTCCCTAGTGGCCCCATCGTGCTGCGACACCCTTTCATCCCGCCAGCTGGTCCGTGCCAGATACGTCGCCAGATTCCGCTACACAGTTCGCCATCCAGCAGTCCAGCCTCGCGACCGTTCACCATCCAGCCTCACAACTCAGCCGATCCACTGCTACGTCCCCCCATGGCCCCGTACCAACCGCCCTCCTGACCTCCGCCGACGACCCAGCACATCTCGCTAGCTCACCTTAACCTCCGAAGGGTCGAACTTGGGCGGCATCTCGTCGGTTTTTTAAGGTAGGTAGGTAGAGGGTAAAGGTGAGAGCTTGAAGGTTGAGGAGAGTGTCAAGTTGGCCGATCGATAAAGGTCAAAATTGGCCGCCGAGGTTCGTGCAGCAGCGAGTGAGCCGTCGGTGAGTACGGCTGGACTGGACGGACGGTACGAGCAGGCGTAGAGAGGGCAGAGCAGGGCGAGGAGCCAGTCAGCGGGTGAGCGAGGCGGTAGTCAGAGCATGCAACCAGAGCGGTGCGTAGACTGCCCCATCGAGCTTGCCGCGTGCAAAAGCTGGAGCGAAGCAGCAGTGTGGCAGCCGCTGGATACCTCCGCTACGGTGAAGGAAGCGTCGGTGATAAGCTAAAGCCGACGATGGCGATATATCATTCCGCTTGTGCTTTTGTTTCCCCCCGGTCTTCTTACGATCCGACCATGCCCTGCTGCACAGCAACGCGACGAGCGATCCTACGATATGCATGCTTCATATCCATGCTATATGGCAAGAGTATGGTGCCGACAGTATACATCTCTTGTTGGCAGAACGGTGTCTTCCCTTCTCCATCTAGGTGGTCACGCAGGCTGATCCACCGTGAAGCTGATGAGCTGTATGGATGACCTATCCGCCTGACGAGCAGTCATACTTCGCACACCATCTGGCCGTGGGTGGCACAGTCGTCTCGATACAGTCGATACAGAGCTTGCGATTGAACGATGCGCTGATGGTTTCAGCACAATCGGATGAATCTCGCCCGATGATCCACGGCTCAGGAAGCTTGAGATAGCCAGGACAGTAGGGCAGACGATCAGCGCACGAAGAGAGCAAGATCTGGGCGCGTGCAGGGCAGACATCCACTCCGAAAGCTGCCTCATGACCGGTGCTCGGACCGTCCAGGCGATGATGCCACCGTGCGCGTTCGCCAATCTATGGCCTGACATGACCTACTTGCCCACCTCCAGGGTCCACTTGGACACTGCCAGATACGACTGGCATGTCCCACTGAGCTGATCACGACTCTGTGACTGGCATCCATAAATAGATACGCCAGATCACCACATGCCTGCAGCACGCACAGACCGTTCCATACAGTCAGCCCATCTCAGTCGATAAGTTCTGCCATGTCAGTCTGCAATCACAACGGTTTGCGGCAGATGCAGCCAGCGCCTCCCCGCGGTTGCGCCAAGCTATCCACTGAAGCCCGCCAATCCAACTCATCCCAGGTCCAACAGAAAGGGAAGAAATGCATTCCCATCATGCGCATGCGCAACGTAACAGGCCCATCCCGCCAACACCTTCCATCCCAATCCCAACAGTCCCGACCCGTCGAGCCAGCCAGGCGACCACGAGCATCGCCATGAGACTAGCGCGGACGAGTGGCTTATCGGTATCGTCGGAGAGAGAGGGTGTTGTGCTTCTTCCAGGTGGATCGTCCGGGCTGGTGGTTGTGCCTGGAGCCCTTGCCGAGACCTCGGTTCTTCTTTCCTTCGGCGGTAAGACCTCGGGCCTCTCGGTGCTTGTGAACGGGGTTGGCGATCCAGTTGATTCGGGCGTCTCGTCGGATGGCCTTGTGCGAGGGGCTGCGGGCGGATCAGGTGTGAGGGGTGCGCTTAATGGTACAATGGCAAGGATTACTCACTCGACAAGGATGACCTCGTAGTACTTGTAGACACCGTCCTGGTTAACCCAGTAGGAGTTGAGTCTAAAAGAAGTGTCAGTCCGACACATATTTGCACAGCATCTGGTCCGGTGTGATGGCCTGGCGGGCAGCTCCAACAGCGTCTCCGCCTCTTGTCCCCTACAATGTCCTGCTCCATTCCTCGTTGTAGCTCCCTGCGTCGCCGACTTTGCCCCTCCTTCGCCCCCTGCTAGCTTGCCGCCCATCACACCCGACCAGACCCAACATTCCCACTCACACCCGCAGGTTTCCACATCGCCTGGCGACTCGCTCCTCGGCGGTGGCACGGAGACCTCGCTGGAACTTGAGGTGGTTGATACCCTGTCGGACGGGCTTGCCGTAGGTGGCACCCTTGGGAGCGGGCTTTTTCCTGTTACCCCTTCGGACTCGGATCCTGTAGACGAGGTAACCCTGCTTGGCCTTGTATCCGAGTCGTCGGGCCTTGTCGGGTCGAGAAGGTCGGGAAGCTCGGTGGATGACGGCGAGCTGTCGGTACTCCCAACACCTCACTCGGGAGATGAACTGGAGGACGTCCGACTGCTTCTTGGTGTAGAGCTCGGCGAGGTACTTGTAGGCACCCATCTGGACAAAGCGGTCGGGTGATCAGCTGGCGGTGAGAGACGAGACGACGGACAGGTCGACCCACTTTGAATGACCCTTTTTGAGACTTGAAGGTTGAAAGACTGGATGGGATCGCTTTGACGTTGAAGACTTGAAGCCGGTGTGCTTGCGACAGGCCGGGCAAGCAGCAGCAGCAGCAGCGAGGCAGCAGGGTACAGCAGCAAGGGTAGCGCGGAGTACGAGAGGGTGCTGGACAGCAGGGAGCCATGCAACAGGCCTGGCGGTCAGAGTGGCATCCGCAAACTTGCGAATGCTAGCGTGGCACGGGACTTCGGTGATTCTGGCGGCAGAAAGGTGTGGCACATGTCTGGCGCATCGGTGTTAAGCTGTCCTTATGTCCGGCGATCCCGACAGTACCCTTCGGAGATGTCCGACATCCCCCTGTTGTCGAGTACGGCAACCTCGGACCAGAGTACCGTTATGGTGCCCCGGCAATCGTGGGATGACACCATCCGAACGTGATTACACTCCGGTCAGATGTGTCACTCGGGCTGGAATCCGGGATGCAGTTGACCTCGACTCGGCAGATCCGTCAAGATTGGCATGATTTGGGCAGGTCATCCATCTGCACATTCATAGCTCGAGCGCGACCTCCAACAAGTCACGATGAGGGTCTCTGCCCAGTCACTGTTTGCGCTACGAGCGAGGGCTGCACCATCTCCGATCCGATCAACGGCTGACCGGCTCGCTCGTCGGTGGAACTCGTCGCTTCCTCCACCTCCGCCTTCGGCTACCGCTGCGCCTAAAGGGAACCCTCTCTCCGCGGCGTGG